AACTGGAAATCGAAAAGAACCATTATTAAACATCCAACTCAGATGAAAGGCAAGCCACACTGAAAATACAGAAATCCTAGAAATGATAATGGAAGCATTATATATTAAACTCCATGGAATACATTTAAAGCAGTGTTCAGAGGAAAAAGCATAGCCTTAAACACTTATGGCAAATAAAACAAACAAATAAAAATAAACAAAATAAATTTGAAATTTGAAAAAACTAAAGAACAGCAAAGTAAATCAAGAGAAATTACTAGGAAGGGAATGATAAAGATAAATGCAGCAATTAACAAGGCAGAAAATAGAAAACTAGACTAAGAAATACATCAAAGTCTTATTTTTTGAAAAATAAAACAGAACTAGATGAATCGCAAACCACTAATCAAAAATAAATCCACAGATAAAAAATCACAAGGGGAAAATAACCACCAAAACAGACAAAATTTAAAAATAATTCTAAGAAAATATTTGCAGACCTCTCGATACCAATATTTGTAGGGTAATTTTAAATTATGTGTCTATTCCAGTATTCCTGATCCTAATAAAAGTGTAATGCAGTGTGTTGTCTCTCGTAGCTGCAGTAATCAAGACAGCGCGGTACTGGGAAGGGACAGCCATCCAGATCAATATACCAGAACAGAGCACCCGCGAACAGATCCACAAAGATGCACTCAGCCGATGAGTGACAGCTGCAACAGCAACTCAGCGGAGGAACCATAGCCTTTGTACCAAATGGTGCTAGAGTGTGGCGAGATCCATAGGCAAACAAAAAAAGAACCTTGATCTAAACCTCACACCTTATATGAAACAACTCAGAATGGAACATCGACTTAAACGTAACATGTAAATCAATAAAATTTGGGGGGAAAAAGAGCACAGGAGATAATCTTTGAAAAATATCTAGGGCTAGGCAAAAAGTTCTCCTGCTGTCATGCTTTTAACACCAAAAACACGACACATTAAAAATTTTTTTGACACGTTGGGCCTCATTAAGATTCAAAACTTTTGCTTTGTATAAGAACCTGTTTAGTGGATGAACAGACAGCCTGCAGACTGGGAGAAAATGTCCTATCTGCTTTCTTCGTAAGAGCCCCACACTGGAAACAAGTCAGGTGATCTTCAATGAGGAGGTGACTAAACAACCTGTGGTCCATCCATACCCCAGTGCAATGCAAAGAAATCAAATACTGGCATGGGAGACAACTTGGATGAATTGCTAGACCATGATGCTGAGTGAAAGCAGCCAATACAAAAAGGTCACGTGTTGTATGATTCCATTTATTTAGCCTTCTTGTAATGACAAAATGCTAGAGATGGAGAACAGATTGGGGCAGGGTTAGAGGTGGGAGGGATGCAGGGCTGGCTGGAAAAGGCCAGCACGAGGGCACCTCACAGCGATGGAACTCTTCTGTGTGCCTTGACTGCATCAATGGCAACATCCTGGCTGTGATCTTCTACTACAGTTTGTCCAAATTGTACTACCAGGGGTTTCTGCACAAAGGGCTCACAGAATCTCTCTGAATTATTTCTTACAACTGCACATGAATCTACAATTATCTTGAAAGAAAAAGGTTTAAAAAATTAATGAAAGCAAAAAGTATAGATAAAAATGGAGCTCAAGTTTATCCATTTCGACTACAGAATATCTAAAGTTCCTCTGCAAAATTTAAAATACAAAAATGAGCTTAAAAATGGTCACAACATGTATATCAGAACTGATTTCTGTAGGTGCAAGAGAGCTTCTGAGAAATAGGAAAATTCATCTCTCAAGAGAAAGACAGAGGCAAAGGATATGAATAGAAAGTTTACAAAATAAGAAATGCAAATATTCAATGCTTATACAGAAAGAGTATAATCTCAGTAGAATTAATTAAAACAAAACATGAGTCTATTGTTAGCCAGCCAGATGAACCTTGAGCGTTTCAATGGCAGTGACGAGTTTCAGCAGTGAAGTTCGATAAAGTGCACAGAGAGCAACATTTCTGGATGCCAGCTTGTCAATATTTATCTGGATTCCTAAAACATCATTCATTTAGCCAGTGGTTCTATGTCAGAAAATTTATCTTCAATTATCAGAAATGAAACAAGGTTTTATCTATAAAGATATTTATCACACCATAACAAGAAACAGTAAGCAACCTCAATACCTCAGTGCAAAATGAACCAGGATATATCTGCCTGTTGTAGGCACAGCTATTCGATTTTGGAAGGACAATTGGTCCTAGGTAAGATGGTCACAATAGAGTATAAAGAATAAAAAGTAGGATACAATGTGATTTGAAGGCTTTGTAAAAAAATATGTAATCTACGGTAGGCAGGAAAAATGTAAGAAAACACACCAAATTACGATCAGTGGCTATTTCTAGGTAGCAAAATTATAGGTTACTTTTATATTTTATTCGTTGACACATTTTCTGTTAAATACTTACCTACATCATGAGAGAAATGGTCATTTTTTAAAACATTCTGCACTGTGTATCACAAGAAGCCCCCTTTTATGAAAATAAATCTTTGAGTTATAGATAAAAGTTGAATTAGTGCGTGTGCAATTGCAAATTAAGCAATTCATGCAAATAAAGTCCGTACCGCAACTAAATAACCATTCCCTGGGCAAAAACTGCTCTGATTTCTGCACAGCAAGGACCTGGCAAGAAGGATGGTCAGAGCTGGAAGAACTGGAACCAGGAAGGATCTCTGTTGACCACTCACCACAGAGACACTCTCCATCCAAGAAGATGCATGTGACTCACAAGGCTGGGGCTAATGAGCTTTCGGGGAGACAACTGGCAGTCTCGCCCAAGCTTTCTGAGGCCGACTTCCTGTCATACTAGCCGTTCACCGCAGTAACTGCACACACGCACACACACACTGCACACCAAATGCAAGACCTGTGTGAAAAGTTCAGTGCCCACATGCATCACCCACTGGAGCTGAACCTCAGGCACTTTACGCGTCCCAGGTGGAGTGGACGCAAACCCTTTCAGTTGGGCAGATGTCAGGTTATTGTTCCAAAGTGCTACTTGGGAAAAGATCAGACTGCGGTTGCCCTAAAAATCTTCTTTTTAAAAAAATACTAGTACCAGGCCTCCCGTGCCTACCTGTGAGACCAACTGGTGCTGCAAAAGCCATGAGGTTTCCCGCTGTCTGAGATTCAGCCTATGGGCCTGCCAGGAAGCAGAGGGACCAGTACGTGGTACGCTTGCCCAACCAAACGAGAGGAGATGGGGGACGTGAGAACGACGGCCTTCCAGGGCTGCAGAAGTCAGGAGCCCGGCCCAAATGAAGGAGGCAGAGCTGGCAGAGAGGGTGAACTGAACCTCCCCCTGCTGCCCACTCAGCACGCTTGTCTCTGATCCCCTCTCTCGGCTGTGCTCTGGGTCTGACTCTCACTGACCATAGGGCAAAGATGAGAAGACGACAGTGTGCGGTAGGCCACCTCGCAAAGGCCACTGCCATATTTGCTATAATAAATGCTGCTCTCATTAAGATAATTCTTGTTTAACTGACAGGATGATTTCTTTTATGCTCAGCAGAGGCAGAGGAGAGTCCAGACAGAAAGAAGTGGGCCAGGCATTAAGTTTTGAACCCTGTCCCTTAGCAGCAGGGTCAGCGATATGCCCAGAGTCCCCCCAGGAGATGCACACTCAGTGTCCCCTGCGGCTCACACCCACGTTACCCAGGAGTGTCATTCAGATTGATGCCTCAGCAAAATTACCACATAGTACTAATTTCTTACGAACCACGGAAATGGCCCATATCATAAGTCTGGCAAAAGCCAGTGTGCTGCTGTTCAAAGAGCCTGCTGTGTGTGGGTCCTCAACTGGGCACCATGGCCAGGGTTCTGTTCCCAAGCCAGCCCCAGGCAGCAGTGCCTGGTGCAGGGATCACTGCCTCCACCGGCTACAGGGTTCTCTGCCACTCAGCCAAAGTTGAGGTTCCAAATCTTTACCCGAGGCTGGTTCTGAGAACCATCATTGTGCATACACCCAGTCGAATGTATGAAGAACTCCACAGAAACCTCGCTCAACACCAAATGAAGGAAGTTCATTTTCACAGCACCGTTTGACAGGGGCTTCCAGCTTCCATTCTGCCCCTCACCTGTTTGCAATGTGCAGTGTGCCACTCACACACAGACGTGCCGGCAGTCAGGGCCCCAGCGTGGACCCAGCTCCTCCTAGAGCAGGCTCTACTCTGCGGGCACCCGCTGTACACCCCCACCGAGGGCCTCATCTCTCCGCAGTCCTGAGAGGTGCCCACACAAGAGAGGGAAGCCACTGCCAGGCTGCCCCCATTCCACCACCCTGGCTTCAGTCTGCAACATCACGGGGTCTTTGCTAGCAGGGACTGTGCAATCCAGCAGGTGATGTCAGACTCGACATGCACCATCTTCGTGGACAGTCAGGGCACAAGTTCCCACTGGAATTTTCAAGAGGACAGCCACATGAAATACCTGGCAAGCCCACAGTCATTTCCTGGCCCCCTGACTCAAGCTGAGTCATCCAGAATGTCTGAACCATCCTTTGTGTTATGGAGCTAATCCCAGCAATTTTTTTTTCTTGAGACAGAGTCTCACTCTGTCACCTGGGCTGGAGTGCAGTCGCGCGACCTCAGCTCACTGAACCCCTGCCTCCCGAGTGCAAGCAATTCTTCTGCCTCAGCCTCCCAAGTAGCTGGGATTACAGGTGCACACTGCCATGCCCAGCTAACTTTTTTTGTATTTTCACTGTGTTGGGGTTTCACCGCGTTGCCCAGGCTGGTCTCAAACTCCTGAGCTCAGGCAATCTGCCCGCCTCGCCCTCCCGAAGTGCTAGGATTACAGGCGTGAGCCACCAGCAATAAATTTTTAATGTGTTCTTTTCTGAGTTAATCTCTCCTACACCACAGTCTCTCTAATTGCTAAAAATATGCTTATCTTAGCATTGAATGTGCTATTTTTTAATTAAATAAGCTTAGGAACTAGACAGTTTAACAGAAATTTAAAGTGAATGTAAAAGTACCTGAAAAATTCCATGAAGGAGAACCCATATCCATGCTGCTCTGCAATTCCTGCACACACCACGTTTGCCGACGCGCCAATCAGTGTCCCGTTACCTAAAGTCAAAATTTAAAAACAAAATTCCAGTTCATCCTGGTGGTCAGCTTCTGTTCTCTTCGGTTTGTAATATTTAGATCATCTCACAGGCTTTGATTTGATGATTATTTTACAGTCAAAGTGACTGCTTTGTAAATATCTGGAAACACACAAGCAGAAAATAAGCTCACTGATTGCAAATACCACGATTCATTTATGGATAAAACCACGGCTGTTGTATGTAACAAGAGGAAGAAAGCTAAGGAGAATGGGCAAGTCACTGTGGGCCTGTGAGTCTCTTAGAGACAAATGCAAACGGGGCCAACAAGCAAAGCCGAGAACGTGTGTCCCTCAGGAATGCAGTCTCAGACACGAACCACCTCCCTCCAGACTGCAGGCCCAGACGCTAGGAAACTCTTTCAGTGGATGAAAGGATAGGTAAAAACAAGCAGGTGGAATCCCTTTCCTTCAGATCTTCACTAATGGCATCTCCTTGCCATAAAACACCTCTCTGGGTAAGCTTTTATGAGTGTGCACACACACGTGTGCCGTCCTCGCGGCCTGGTGAGCAATAGAGCCAAGGTGGCCACTCGGGTCATCAGATCCAACCCCCCCCCACACTCACAGCCAGGGAAGGCCCAGGAGCCTCCCCCGTCCCTCCCAGTCATCGTGGTCAGCGTTCGTGAACAGGCCGGTGATTCAGGCTCAGCCAGTTTAGCTGAGTCCTGACATCCGTGCACACACGGTTGAGGAAGAATCGCCCTCTGTCTCCATCTCTCTCCCCTTCTATGGAGGACGGGTGAACTGTGCGACACTGCCCTGGAGCTGCCTACAGCATGTCAGTGCGGGGGAGTGACCTTTCAGAGGCTGGACAACATGGATGACAGAGCAGGTGGAGGCCCCACGTCCCCATGAAGACACAGCACAGACAGGGTGAGCAGTGTGCCCAGGTGTCGGGCCGGGAAGTGGCGAGTCCTGACCGTGAACCATTCTGGCTCCAGAAGAAGACCAGTGAGTGTTAGCCGTAGGGAACATTTACCTCCTGGTGACAGGCAGTCCCAGGTGGCACAAATCCAGATGCAGCAGAGCTCTGTGGCACGGTCAGGACCTTCTCCCTGCACCCGTGTGCTCTGCCACCAGCCAGCAACACTCAGAGCCAGCCCACATTCGAGCTGCAGATGCTGCAGGCATCTCCTCACCATGCATTCAGACATGACCGTGGCCAGAGGAGGGAGTGGGACCCCTATGTCTCCTGAGGCTTGGTCTGAGGGCCAGGAAAATCATTATCAGAAGCTCCTCCCTCTCCCACAGAAGACACTCCCTCACGTCACCTGGACTCCACATGGCTTTGGTCTGCCCATCCCTATGCCAGTCCCTGGGCCGGAAACCCAGCTGCCCATCCCTCCCTGCCATGGGCGGGGCAGAGAAGCAGGGAGTCTGCTTTGCTTCCTCTGTGTTGATGAGGACCATCACCACCTTTCCTGGCATCTCCTGGGCTGGTTGTGGGGTTCACACGGGATTAAGAATGTGAGCCTACTATTCAGATGCCAACGATGTTGCAGTCATTAAACAAGATGCCAGCAGAGTTTTAAGGGTATTCCACATGGTATGGGCTCCATGTGGTGGGGAGAACAAGGCCCCAGGTGTCACTTCCCCAGCTCAAGCCTCCCTCCCAGTTTCCACGGACAGAGAAGCACAGGAGGGTCGGCCTGCACATGAACATCCTGCCTGTCCTGGCACGCCCAGGTCGTCCTGCGTGGGAAGACACACATGGATCCAGAGGCAGAACAAGGGCATTTTCAAAACCACGCCTAGCTCTGTCTGTGATGAACGTTGCACACAAAGAACCAAATCTCAAGGGTAACTCCTGTGTCTGCAGTATACATTCCACTCAATAGGCCACACTCCCAGAACAGTGAGATTTTCCACCTGACAGAACTCTAGGCATGGACATTCCCTTTGGCGAGCTGAA